CTTAAATCTTCAAATTCAGCCTTCATTTACGCGTGATTCTCGTGTACGGGCAATTAAATTCCTGGCGGGAAAATTACTCATTGAACAGTTGGGTTATTTTCAAACAACACCGCTAAATTGAAATAGTTTATTTCTTTTTATGCAAAATTTATGATGATTTTCGGCATCAAGCACACAAGGTAGGTGTGAAGAAACAACTGTTCATGTAGTTAACCTAATTCAAGTTTTGCGCAAAAACGCATGATCGCACCGGCACGCCTGGTGCGTTCCAGCCTGGGTTCAAATTGCATAGCTGCAAAAAACGCATTAAAAAAGTATTGTTATACTCTGCGCACTCCCAAACTTACTGCGCCAGAGCAAAGATGACATATCAATATAGACTCAGTTTACAGCCGCTCCGGCCATCCACATCTCCTCGAGGTCATCCAGGTACACCTACCTGGAACCCTGCTCAACAAGACACACCTTCACTTCTGGCCACGCCCAGACTCCTCCCATACATTAGTAGAGTTTTGGGGCACAAAACTCATTCTCCCACTCCACTAGGACTGAGTGGCGGGGAGCGAGTTTTATCGCCTACTATCGCCAGTTCTCACAAACTCTTCCCTCCTCATTTTTTTTCGTTTTTTTTTTTTTTTAACTTTAGTATTTCCTCCTTCCCCAGGAGTCAAGTTTATAGGGGAAAGGGTATTGGGGGTCAGGCTATATGCTTTAGTTAAGACCAGAGTACTGGCAGGTGCATGGGTGTAGGGAGAGAGACTTATTACTGAAATATGTTTTATAAATTCTGGTAGAACTGACTGAGCAGGCACCTAGGCTGTAGGGATGTTGTAAAGATTTGTAGATTGCCGCGTGTATATATGTAGTTGTTGTGCATACTGTATATAGCTTTGTTAAGGTTGTCGCTATTTTACTGCAGTGATTTTCACATTGGTTTAATAACCCAAATTTGAAATTAATATCGTGTGTTATGTTAGCACGCAGGGAGCGACAATTCTTTGAACGCATACGTTGATTGTAACCCTGGCTCCCACATCCATGGTCGTCGTCTCGTCGCCAAACTTTCCGAACTAGTAATTCAAGCAGACGCCCCCAGAATTCCAGTGGTCGTCTCCTGGTCGTTGCCAGGCGCTCATCAGCCGTCCACCCGTTGTGGTACTGTGTAACGCTACTGCACGAGAGAGAACATTTACTGTAGGAAGTGACCTGAATAGCTGCTTTCTGCCCATAAATCAATGTTTATCTTCCTTGTTAGGAACCGCTAAGTGGGGCGGATTGGTGATGGTTTTAATTAAAATCAAACTAATTCCAGCTTTTTTCACAAGTGCTCAATCAACCATTCGCCAGCAAGACTTTTTGATAAAAGGACAACACGCAGGCGCGTTTTTTGTGAAATGCGATACAAAAATATGCCCTAAATTAAAACGACCAAATTTATTACTGATATACTATTTTAGGGCTCACACCTTTGCGTAGAACCACTAACATGATAGTAATCACCCGGAAAACCAGCCGTTCGGACTGGACAGTAAATGTTATTTAGCAGTTACAACAGAAACAGTTCAGTTACGACACACCCATCTGCTTCTTGCAGTTAAATATGTGGACCCCGAATTTCTATTACGTGCGTGCACTACTCTTACGGCGGTCTCAACAAAAATTGATTTTCAGTGCAATCCAATAGTAAGCATATGAAAATCATTAACAGCGAACACCAGGGCTGCCAGCGCAATTATGCGCTTCTGCGCGGTTTCGCCAAGCTTTCTAGCATGTAAAACTACATGTGGAGAGGTTGCAAACAATTTCCTCTAGGTTTGCCAGATCTCTGTCCGACACGTAATAATTTGTGGAAGATGTTATTGCACTTCTAGTACCGCTCAAGGTATTTCCGCATTCTTGTAAAAGTTCTGCTTTCTTGCTTTCACACCACCAAAAGAGAATGACAAAAGCGTTGCAGTTCGAGCATTTGATGCGCCTAAGGAAGATGGTTAAGCAGGTGCAAAGACTCATTCATGTCACAGGCTCGCGCGTGGATATTAAACACCAAAAAGATGCAATTCTCTATTTATTCTGGTTAGGAGTTGTATTTGTATTAAAACCGTTTCAGACTGAAATTTTACTTTCATATACTAGTGAATTAGGCGCTCCTAAAGCTGAAATTAAAACTTTTAGTTTTGGACGTAGAATAACCCCGCAAGATCTTAACCGCCTAGCTTAACTGGCTCCTAAAATCACTTCTCCACTAAAAATATATTTTAAGCACCAGTACGTGTGGCACAGGTCCATTTTATGCCTACGTGTCGCTACTTGGACAGCACATATTTTCTCCTAAAATACAACTTCTTTCTGTCCGATTACCAAGTTGAACTGATGTCAGCAATGTCTGATTTCGGACTCTAATTATCTGTATGCGCGAGGTAGGGCATACGTGATAAGTAAATTCGAAATCTTTCGGTCATCTCAGAACTTTCTTTTACTTTAAAAGAAGGAGATCAAATCTTACGTCTCAATTAGCCGTTTAAGACAAATATATAATCCAGAAAATACAGAACCAGCGCAGTGGTGCATCCAAAACCATACAAAAAAATGAAAGGCACAATTAGAAAAATTTTCAAATGCAGGTAAATATTTTTAACAATCTTTGGAACAGTACACTGATTAATGATTTCGATACATACTCTTGTAAGGCGGCAGGTTGTGAGTGCTATAGTAAACGCAAAAATATGGCGAATTAAAACACATGCTAAATACAATTTTTTTGCAACGATTTGTAGGCGTTTTTTGGAAAGTCAAGGATTCTGCTTACCAACTGACTACAGACCGCATAAGCAGATCAGCTAAATATGGTGGGTGAAAAATAAAGTGACACGCCTTTGCCGGTTGAATTGATTAACGGTGATAAAGCCTTTGGCGAAAAAAGATGAAATGCGATATAAGTCGGGGACCATATCGCTGGTGATAAGAGAAATGGACTAGCAATGGCGGCAGTGACAGCCGTCGGTGAATAAATCAATGGATTCAGCACCAAAGGTGATAAAATTCGAGGGGAGAGCAACGTCGGAGACAAAATACTGGGTGAAAGAACCGTTGGTGATAAAATGAGAGGCAGCATGCAAGCTGGTGATAATATTATTGGATTCATAAGTAGCGGTGATAAAATCCACGGCGTTAAAGCTTTCGGTGACAGAATCATTGGTGCCATGAGGCGGGGGGACAGAATAACTGGCAGGAAAAGCCATGGACTGAGCACGCCGACGCCAAAAATCGACGGCGAGAAAAGAATCAAGCTTAGCAGAACAGGCGAAAGAATAGAAGGATTTGAGACAGCGCCTGGATCAAAGATAACAGCGTTAAGTAGACTGGGAGAAAGGACACGCGCTTGTCGTTTTCGACGAATCACTCTCGAATCAACCCGTGACAAACGTCGAATATCGTCGATCAAGTGCTGATGTATCTGATTCTCATCCAAGGATTGAAAGAATTTTAATTTTTTCGGATCACTGTACGGCGATTCAATGCCGTAAACCATCTGACGCTGTTTGGGAGTTAACACCGAAAATCCGGTTGTATTCAGTTCGAGAAGCTAAAAAAGACGCTGTATTCAATGTCTGCAACGAAATTTTTACACTTTTCTAATGCATCTAACTTACCTGAACGGCACTTCAACATCGTAATGGTTTCTAACAGCGCGAAAGTATCTTCAGAGGAGAACGGTCGGATGCTCGTTTCTCAAGTGCTTGTATTATTGTTCATGTGGGTACCACTTACTAAAGCGTGTGGAAGATATCGCGCAGTGTCATCCCAAAAATTCATAGTATCGGTTTTTAGTTGCACAAGAAAACAAAAAGATGAAACGTTAAGTCTAAAAGCAAATTTCAGGCCAATCATCTAACTAAAATTCAAAAAATTCTAAATTATCAAGCTGCGCCCCGGAACTGAAACCGAGATTATCAGTCGAGACTGTTAAGTTCGAGCCAGATTTCAAGTTGAATTTTGCACTCAACGTTTTATTTTGGCTATTTCTTTTCTACTTAATCGTGAAATCGGCCCGAACCCTTAGGATACAAGCATAACTGGAAAAAGATAGATGAGCTGGCTTCGTGCTTTTCACTTGACACAAGGACTGGAATTATGCTCTCAGTTCAAATACGAGAAGCGTCTACAATTCTAATATATTGCAAGAGCTATTAGTTTTTTACGGATGAACATACAAAATCTTCACAAATACTTTGTTATGTCGCTGATCGGATAAATTAAGATAAATTTAGGGCAAAGTTAGACTTCAGTAACTTCGCGCTATCATAAGGTTGTCTGTGACTACCGATGTGGAAAGCTCATCACTAGTTTTTAACACAGTTTGTTACTCATATGTTATTACACTTTTATTAGCTGAACTTATCGTTGAATTGGCAGCTATTAGCACATAAAATCAAATTAATTATTAATCAAAGCACCTCATCGACAAACATAAGACAGTGAGGAAGACAGGTTCTCCCCTTTAGTCCTAGGATATATGCCAAAAAAAAGTGATTAAAACCTGTTTGCTTGTCAGTGTTCTAGAGATCTGTGCAAAAACATCGAGTTGTCGAGCTTGTTTCGGGTCGATATCAGTTAAGTTATGACGCGTAAAATACAACGGTTGTCCATCCACACCGCGTGGCATCGCAGCAATCGCTGGTGGCAACTCATCTTGTTGCTGAAACACGATACTGTTCATAAGCTGGAGTGCTATTAAAGCGGATCTTATAACATTATAAAAGCTGCGGTAGGCATTGAAACTACGGCACTGCGCTAGTTTAAGCAGCTTCCGATAACAAGGTAGATAAGAAGTACGGAACACATGAAGAGGACGAGCTCCACGCGGAAAGAAGAAGGTGGCCGAGCTTTGCCATTTGTTGAGGATCACTGCGCTTTAGCTGCCAGAAAACACTGCATTTTTCAGTGTTTCAGTGCTAGATTTGTCGCTTTGGCTCTGTTACATTTAGTTCTTAAGATGGTTTACCATTTCCAGTCAGATTTTGATGTCTGTTAAATTCTGTGCCTTTTTATTCAACCGCTACACCAATTATATATTTGATTCACCACTTATATGCTTGATTCAGAGCACAAGAGTATATATTTTTAAGACTTTCGCAACCCAAGGGCATAGGATTTAGTCGGCCTTCTGGGTAAACCACAGTTAAAGTAACTGCATTTCTTCCTGCGTTAGTGCTTTACTTCCTGCGCTAATGCTCTCTTGTACTAAATTTTCTTGAAAGTTAACTTAGGTAGCAACGGACAAAGCGCTTGCCAATGCAGTCATGCATTTTATGTCAAACTTGAAGCAGTCAAACTGTTAACAGTGTATTTGGTGCTTTACAACTTAACGTGTGCACTCATTTTGGCTGCATTTTGGTCTTTTTGCATGCGAGGGGAAAAGGAGT